TCTAAAGGGCAGGTATAGCAGATCCAGCAGCCATTGTTGCGTGTTATGTGTTAATTAAGGTACGGCTAAGCTAGACTAATGTAATAGGTCTTCATAGAGATTTAAAGACTTATCCGATTTGGCACTCCGAATATGAGTTTTAGTTTTGTTTCCTATCCCAGATGAGGCTTGGGCAGTTGGGCAGTGTCATGGTAATAAGGTATATCGGATGTTGGTGGTGGTCCCCCACACCCCCACAATAAGAAGTGCCAGGGGGGTCTGGATGGTACGAAACCTAAGCCTAATCTCAGCCCACCTGACTATCACGGCCCTTGTGATGTGACAGTTACATGTACACAGCATGTCATGTTCATATTAACATCTAGGATTCTGTGTGTCTATTCAAAAAGCTGTGATTGTAGGAGAACAGATACCACAAGTACGTGAAACCCTCTGAACAATGCAAAGTGCGGATGGACATTCAGCAACAGCGTTCAATATGTAGTCTGGGCTTCTGTCTTCAGATGTGGGAGAGGAGATAACTATCATCAAGGCAGAGCATTTCAGGGCGCAGGAATCAGTCAATGTTATGATTTGAATCAAAGTTTGATTTTTTTTTCCATTAACCAACAGAAATCCCATTTAAACTCTTAAGAAATCTCCCCTTGATCTTCCTTTATTTTATGCTTGCCTCACTGCATTATGGCTTTTTATGGATAAGAGTTTAGATGGATACTTTTTTAATCCTCAAGAAAACTGCAGAAAAGATGGACTAAGGAATAAATCCTAGCAAAAGATTTACGCAGGAATAGTCACTGTCGTTATTATTTCAGCACTTTGGCTTGTACTGCATTAAATCCTAATGACATCCAGAGGCACTAATATAAAATGTAATGTGAAAAATGTTCATTTAGATTAGCAAGGCAACGGCACTTAAATTTCCTTCCCATTCTTTGAATAATCAAGGGGATACAGGAGCCATGAATAAAATAAAATTGAAGCTTAATGAAAAGGTTGTTTCTTAAGGTTATGAATGTACTCTCTATTGTTATGCGACTAAAGGTTGGTAATTCCAGTTCGAATTTCCCGCAGTGAGTAATCCGCACTTACTATTCCAGTGATTCAGGCGGCTGAATATAAATGTATTATAGGGTTTTTCAAAGTGATACTCAATCCTGTAATTTATGTGGAATTATTGGCATTCACAGGACAAACTGTAGCACAAAATTGACCGGTGCAAAGCTCATTCTAAGCAAGAACAGAACATAATCATCACTGATCATAAGAGAAATTACATGTTCTGCCATCCACCTTTTTCTAAATGGTCCTGCTCTGCTTTATCTCAGAAGGTCACGGACACAATATCTAAATGGTCTAACAGGGAACAAAGACTTTCCAAGTGACACCCTAATGTGCTGACAGGAATGCCAATGACAAGGCCAGGAAAGTACCCGCTGAAGGTGGGCTTGGACGAGTGCAATTCATCCGCAGGACACCTGGGCCAGGTCAGCAGGGCAGATAGGCTTCACATAGCGTCCGTTCCCACCACGCAGAGTCAGTCAGTTACATTCCTTCCTAGAAACGCTGAAATCGGATGCCAGATTGACCCCCCATCTGGCAATGCCACCAAAGTCATTACAGGACAAGAACAAGGGCAAAGCACGTAACAGGCCATTCAGAAATGCGAGGGCAGTACAAACCCAACCTCTCGCCTTGGCGCGCTTCAACCCGCAAGCAGCTGGCATGAGTCGCATCGATGAGTCGCTATCGAAAGTTGGCATGGTTATCTCACGCGTTCTGCCTGGAAAAAAACACCAAACATATTTGCCTCGGAAATGTTGAATCTGCAGAAATTACATCAACTGGCCAGAACTGGAAAAAATAAGTACACTTTTAAGGAATCCGTTTCAAAATAAAGAATTTAATTAGGAGCCAGTCTGCATGGAAGACGGAAATATTTCTGAGAGATATCTTTGCTAATCTTGGGACCCAACATAGGCAAACCCTGTTTTAAGTCTTTATCAATACATATGACTTTGCAGAAAATCTGCTTTGCATCTAAGAAAGAAAGATAGAGGAGTTAAATACATTATTTTCTGAGGAAACTGACCGGATGCTTCATTTCCGTGCTCTGTAATAGCTGTCAAAAAATACACTGGAATTCCCAGGGATTCCCAGTTCAATCATGTTCTCAAATCAAAAATGTTTCACTGGTTTCTCAGTGTATTTTACTGCATGACTTATATTACTATATGCTTCAAAGTCTCCTCTCCTCAAAACGGAGTAAAAATTTTAAAAGACGTACATTATGGATGGGATGCCAGTCTTTCATAGGGCTCTCAAGCGAATACTGAAAGTAATTAAAATTTTGATTAGTTTCTACTGCCATCAAGCGGCCAGATACACTACTGCACCTGCAGGGTCATCTTCAAAATGTAAAAACTACATCAGGTCTAGCAGATAATATTATTAAATGTCACTTGTCACAACACCGCCGCGGGGACCCATGGTCCATCGCCTGATTGGCAGGTGGCCGTATTCCTCCTCCAGCCCCCTGCAAAGCAGCCGCACGTCAAAGCCTCGGCACCCGCGTTGTGGACAGACGACTGAGCACTTCTGTATTTCCACCCGCCTGGAGAGCACTATTACCCCAGCTGGCTGCACTTTCCCTGGGGTTTCGGCAAGAAGAAAGGGCAGTTCTGCAAAAAGACAGCGGCAAGAGGACTACTGTCTAAACCGCGGCCAAAACCAGACCAAGCCAGCTGGCCGGAGTGAGATTTTCAATCTGAGACAAGTCTGCACACATATGCGCACGCGTTTACATGGATGCTGTATGCTATGGCTCTTGCTCCATGTCAGCTCTAGGTTTGTGATGTATTTATTAACCGCGTGCATCACTTTGGACAAAAAATGTCTGATGATAAACATTTTTATGGTAAAATATCAGACAGCCTTCCCTTCTGAAGACTGATGGGCAGTGAAATGAAGTCTGCATTGAGAGCTATGGTTAAAAAGCATGAATGTAAACAGCCCCCATAGGTTTGGGGTGTGCGGATTGAGGAAGAGCAGTGCGGAGGGAGGGAAAATGTGGGCAAAAATATCTTACATTTGCAGGAATGGAGTTTGTGTACACGGCATGACAGATTTGTCATAGTCACCATAAGAATGGGGGCAGTGACCACATGTTCAATCTTCACTGTATGTCCTTAGGCTCAAAAAAACAAAAAAATGGATTCTGGAGGTCACAAATGGACACACAACCCCTCAAAAAAATCGAAATTCTAGTTGATAAAAAGAGTCTCTGTCCTTGATCTGAAACAATGCATGCTGTCTTTGATCCCCATCCTCCTGTGAGAGAATTTTATCAATACTGTCAATGCCCCTTAGCCCCAAACCCAAGATATAAAGGCCACTATCCTAGCAACTGGCTTGGCTCACTCCCTGTGACAAGGTGAGAAGTTTGGCTGCAGGGACCATAGGCTGAAGAGCCAGCTGTGGCGGTGTGGGAATTTCACAAGGATGCCACCTGGTAGACTCCTGAGGAAGCTGTTTTGGGCACGTCCCACTGGGCAGAGGCCCTGGCACAGACCCAGACCACCCTGGAGCGATTATATCTCCCAGCTGGCACGGCAACACCATGGAATTCTCCAGACGAGTCTAGGGTTTGCTCTGATCTGCCAAGTAATCTTCACCGTGAAGGTCCAAAATATGTCTGAGATGGCAATTAATTAATAAGAATTCACAATATTGAATTTTCTATATTTTTCAATGTGCAGGAGGTGGAAAAAAAATAACAGAATCAGAAGAGCTTTAATTTTGCAGTAAGTCACCATCACAAAGGCAGTTGCTAATCCAAGACGGAAGAATGCCAATTAACAGTATGCAGTCTCATAATGAGCACTCAGATATGTGAATTTTCAAAGCGAATCAGTGAACCTTTTGGCGGACTCTGGGGTGTAGATCGCAGGGCAGGTTTCCACCTGCTTCATCCCTCAGAGAAATGGAGTTGGGAGCTTTTCTTCTTCTTGTAACATTGTACAGGATTGTACAGATTGTCTACTGTCCACTGTGTGGTTACTATGCAGTTGTTATTTATTGTACTCTGTACATCTATTTTAAGTCTGTGGGCAAGTAATAGTTGGTGCATGTGGCAATAAAACTAACTCAATACAGTACAAAATTTCCAGAATTGCAAAAGGTATTAAAGCTGTTCTGAAGGCAAAGGGTGGCCCGACTCCCTATTAGCTGTGTGATATTATGTGTTTCCATTATTTTGTCTGCAGCCTGTACATTCTGGGTTTTCTATATCATTTGCCTCTCCATCTTTTTTCCCTCTTTGATTACGATTTAATGCTAATTCCTTTCCTTAGTCTCCATTTGAATGATTAAATCCAACAATCCATATGCAAATCCTGTCTCCCCTGCATGTGTTTAATATGCTTGCAGTTTTTCTTGCAGATTCTTCCTTATTCTGCAGACTGCAATGCAAAAAAAAAATCTCAAAGAAAGAAATTGAGGGACCCGATTGACCTAACATTAATAAATGATTTCATGCTACAATGCATTATTACACCCCTACAATGCGTATCGTCATCTTTTTGAATCACAACATATCGTGCCACCAGTGCATTTTTGTGCTGTTGTGCCATGGCCTGGCCCCCTGTCCAGGTTGTACCCCTGCTTTGTGCCCTGTGCTTCCTGGGCTCCAGGCCCTTACTGTGACCCCGTACTGGGATAAGCTATTAGAAGATGGCTGATTTTATTGACAATTTACATAATTACACATAATAACCAATACAAAGCATTTACTTTCATTTAATTGGTGGAATTACCTATTATTTTTAATCGTTAGTGGAACTGGTGGGAAAGCAAGTTTTCGTGTGTTTCGGTGTGTCTCTTATATTTGACATTTTAATCAATATCTCAAAACACTGCGGTACTGCCGGTAGATTACGGATGGTTTCCTTCTGCACTCTTTATCAATACAGCCCCTCCCACCCCGATTTGGTGGCTCGCTGCTCCGCGCGCCGGCCACCAGCAGCCGAGAGGCTCGCGAGCGGCGCCGTGTTACCGCGAGGTTTTCCGAGAGCAGTTTGCGCCTCCCGTTGTCCTCGCGCCGATCGGTCCCCAAGTCAGAAAACTCTCTCCGCTTCGGAATCGCGCACTTCTTTTTTGATATTTTCCTCACAGGCTTTAACACGGCCACTCCGCCGCATTACGGTTTACCGGGAAGAAGGCGTAGTACATGGGCACGTCTATCACGTCTGCCACGTTTGTCAAGGAGCTCTAAAAGCTATGGAATTGTAAGTGTGGATCGTATTTTCTTGTCATCTGCGGAGGCAGACAGCCCTCTTAAAAAAGTACACCGACTCGTACTGCAGACTGACCGTTTTTTTTTCTCAATTGGACTTCTATATTTAGGATTCGTTATGATCAGAGCCACTGTACAGCGCGGTGCGCCGTTTGTTTTGCTGTGGCTGTTTGTCGGGAACTCTGTTTTTGCTTGGCTGGGTAACGACAACGTCAAGTCCAAGAAGCAGAAAAACGGACAGTCCGACTACGAGGCCACCGGAAGCCAAGACCAAAACTGCTTTTGCCACGTAAGTACGGCAAAACCCGCCGGCAGATGCCTTTTCTGAATGAGGATTCTCGTGTACTTGGCCGCAAAACCGATTGATACCTTTACTTTTCTGGCACTTTCTACTGTCGCCCCGAAATCGCGTCATATAAGCGCGCCCACATGGTGTCGCATCTGTGGTATCGGTGTTTTATTACAGCTAATTTATAAAGACTAGATACGTTTCCTCGTTTAACCAGCATTACCAGAAATTGCTACATATCTCGTTTCCCACCAGAAATCATCTACTCACTCGTGTTCTTTTTCCGACATGTTATTGTAATATGGCCACAAAGAATAAGAATCTCTGGTAATGGTGCTCTTGAAATCGATTAAATGAAGAGCATACTTGACAGACATGTCGTTTGAAGCTGGGATAAATAAACCTTGCTTTTAAAACTCACGCAGAATCTTTGAAGACATTAGTTCACCATTTATATAATTTAACGTACAATGTTAATACAGAGAACTGAATCAGAAGGCCAGTTTTAAATTTTAATATATCATAAATTATTTGTCGTCTGTCATAATTTCAACATAATTGTAACCCAGAACCCCATTTACTATAACCGCGTGGTCTTACTGGATTGGATAAGGAGTGAACCGCCGACGGGATTTACGGGACTTGTAGTCTTTTTGGTTGAAGCGTACGCTGACTTCCCAGGTTAAACGAACAACTGATGACTACAGTCCTCGCAAAATATGTGGGCGGAGCCTGGAATGGAAAGCTCTTTGTAATCAGTTTTTTGTTTGGGGGCGGGGTTTAGGTGGCACCCCGGAGCTGAAATTGACAGATCAGGCGGCCAACTGTTGGACTCGAAGTGCAGTTACACTTACCTGCTTTAAAAAGCGCTGTCATTTCTGTGCCACGCTAAGTTCATAGCATAGGCGTTACCTTTGTTGCCATATGTTTCAAAGCCAGAGTTATTTAAGCTTTTCCGCCTGGGACAGTTATACTTGCGGACTTAAGTAGAAACTACGACGAACGGGATGTTTAGAGTGTTCAGCAACCTGTTTATGGCGTCCTGTCTTTCTCTTTACTTTGTTGGACAATTGCATTCCGAGGTTAGTGTTTATATTACAGTACATTTTGTATACGATCCTGCTTGCAATATCTTAGCTTTGTTTTGGAAGAGGTGTAGTTTAACCTCTGATCAATTCGCATGTTTTATATAGAGATCCGCAAAATCATAATAGTTTTGGTCTTCCTGGTTTGATGACGTTCGGTCTCCGTTAGATGAAGAATGGGGGACTCTCACAATGTGGATCCTGCGGTCTGCCCGGTTGATTGAGCAAGGCTTAAATAATAAATGTAGGAAGACAGTTCAGATGCCAGTCTGGAGAACAGTGAGAGCTCGGACTGATTAGTCACACACAAACAAGAGTGCTCCAAGCTATACGCCTGAATGTAAAAGTGAGAAGAGGACAGCACTCATAACTGGCATTTTAAAAATTGTTATGTTTCCTGTGCGAGAACTTGGTCAGTGTTGGCAGGCAGTCACTTTATTGTTGAAAGTAGCATGGTTCAGTGTTTGTTACAACCAGTGTGTAGGCGGTAAGTCTTAAACCTTTTGTATTCTGCTTTTTGTCACCAGCTTGTGCCATATGGGACTGCACATTACCTCTCTATCTTTGCTGTATGAAGTACTAACCTGTATTGAGGTGTATGTAAACAAAAATGGCAAAGCTGTTTATTGTGATTGGGTTTTTTTTAGTGCTCAGTCTAGGACTGAGCGTTGCAGTGGTGCAGAATTGGGGAGAAAGGAGGAAATGATGGTGTTTTCCTGTCTTTTGTGTGTGATAGATTTTTATTTTTTTGTGAAGTTTGTGATCTTCATTGGTTGAAACCATTTGCTTACTATTTGCCTAAAATGCAAAATTTAGCAGTTTTTCCCCTGATGTTTTAGCCTATGCAGTTTCAGGACTTATGTCGCCACACGGTGCAGAATGCTTTCATGTTCATATATCGGTCTGCTTCCTCCATCTTAGTCCTTCCGTCTTGCTTTCTGTTTCACTGCATAACTGCCTCACTGCAGCAGTGAGGGTCTCTTAGCTTTGTGTGTTGACTCTGCACTCTGTCCCTCTTAGCTGACTGGCATCCTGGATGACTGCTTCTGTGACGTGGAGAGCATCGACATCTTCAACAACTTCAAGATCTACCCAAGCATCCGCAAGCTAACAGAGAGAGACTACTTCAGATATTACAAAGTAAGCGTGTCCCTCTGGCCATATTAAAGCTGGCATGAGCCGCAAAATGCCTCGGGCTAAATTTAGATCGTAAATCATTCATCATTTCCTGTCATGTAAAAATCTGAACATTAGGTTCATTAGATAAAGGTCAAGGAACTGAGCTTTCATGTAACCTTCCTTTGGGTTAAAAACCAGAAACTCAGGTGATCTTCACAGTTTATATACTGTGAAACGTAGAATAAATTAAAAAATGTGGTGGATTTGGCAGTTTCCACCCTTTTCTAGCAATAAGAGTATTAAGATGTTTAACCTGTTTTATACGACTGTCAGAACCTGCTGAGTGAAAGGATTGTGAATTTATTTTAAAGTAAGCTCTGCTTGACAAAGTAAGGGGGTAGCGGGGTTTGGCAGCTGTTAGCACCCAGCTGGAGTTCATACAGTGTCTGAAACCTCTGTGCACATTTTGCATGGCCCCCTGTGAGCGCTGTTACTAAATGGGACAGTGATCCTGAAGGGTTATCATGACACATTCAGCCTGATTGTCATTCCCTTCCATTTAGAGTTCAGGCATACAGCACGTACCTTGTACAGCTAAGACCTACAATGTCATGGTGGTACTGTTGTTCAGATAAATATGGAACTGCTTCTCTAGGGTACTTCCCAGGGGGAAGGTTGTTTTTAAAAAAAAAAAAAAAAAAAAACCTCTCTAGAGACACTTGTTTGCATGGGCTTTGCTTTGCTTCATCGTTATAAAGCAGTGTTTTTGAAATGGGTATAAATAGGTACTTTTTCTACTGTTTAAATTGTTGAATTGGCTAGTACCCCCCCCCCCCTCCGACGCCAAAGAACCTGTCGGTAAACTTCCGAATATTGTAGGAAGGCCTCTTGTGAGAGCACGCTCTAGTTACAGTGAACTGGTTTCACCAGAGGCTTGACTGAATGAACATGTGCTGCTTATCAGATGCAAGGCAACGTATGACATGGTTTGATAGTTTTTACTATCAATTTTTGGTACCGGGTTCCCATACACTGGTATTTTTACAAATCAGCCGCAGAAGCTACCGGAAGACATCGTTTTGTCAGCATAGTTTGTAGCTAAGGACCGGGTGACTGTCCCTCTTTTGGTCAGATGGATACCATGATGTCATTGTGTCACGGTGCTGTTCAGCCATCATCATATACAATAAAAGATCAGGAACAGACTGCAAGGGTCATGTAGACCCACCAGTGGTGACAGGTATTCCTAGCCTTGTAATGGAGAAAGGAAGACGTGTGTCGAAGGTGTCAAGCTAATTGGCTGATGTAGATGAGTGGCCTTTAGCTCCAGCCCCCACTGACGTGAGATGCCTTTGACAGTGAATAGCAACACGGCTAACTGCTATATTTCTCTTCCCAGGTAAACCTTAAGCGGCCCTGTCCGTTTTGGCCTGATGACAGCCAGTGCTCCATTAAGGACTGCCAGGTGGAGCCTTGTCCAGAGGTCAGGCTTCGCAGTGGATGGGGCAGGGTCTCATTTTGATGTACATACAAATCTGGTATCTCACTTGTCCTTCAACAAATAGACCAATGGGGTTGTCTTTCTACAGTTAGTTGATGTCTGTTTTTTCATTAACAAGCAGTGTTCAGCACTGGTGTGACAATTTGAATGAAACCTTAAGTTACTCTGGCTTTCAGTATGAAGTTTGGAGGGTCCATTATTTCCATTTTACCCATTGTACTGTGTGCTTTTCTTTACAGAGCAAGGTTCCAGTGGGAATTAAAGCAGGCAACTACAACAAGGTAAGCCTACCTGCTAAATAAGCTTGGACAGCTTGTGCATGTACGTTATCACTCGAGTAAAGATGTGTGCCCGATTTAGTGTGAGCTCTGAAGTCTAAAGCCTTAAAATCCTTTTTGAATGTGTCGATAAGTGTTTCAGACGCATATAAAAGGGATGAAAAGCCTGTCATTTTATGTGGGGTCGTCATAACATAGACAGGCTGTTCCCTCGACAATGCTCTTCTTGGGCTGAAAAGATGACGTATTGAGGTCTCCTGTCAGAGGAGAAGGCCAGCTGTATTCAGTCGGCAGTCAGCTTTCGTTTGTCTTGATAGCGAGCTTGTTTTGAGCTGCTGAACTTTCCTGTCAGACTCTGGATACTGTACTTGTAGCGAGTGAAACTGTAGCGAGAGATGAGTGTATGTATGACTTCATTGAGCCCTCCCTCCGTGCTGTCGCTCTAATCTTACAGCTAGTGTTTCCTGCCCAGTTTCCTGCTTCATGTGGCCATCTATGTCTGGATCAACACTTTAGGCACAGTTATTTTGATTGTTTTGGAGCTCCTCTAAGCTCTTGGGGATTATGAAGAGCCCTCACCGTATGGACAGAGCAGGCGGGGGGGGGGGTGTTTGCTCAGTCACAAACCTCCCGTCAGTTGGGACCTGTGTGTTTTGCCAGATAGGCTCCCTCCGCCTGACTTGGCACCGCATGGTTGTCCAACAGCAAACCTTTAGGGCACCTAAGGTGACTGCAAGGTTATTGGCCACCTTCTCCTTGCGTCCCCCGTCTAATCTCACTTAAAAGATTTGATATCAGCCATGCTCTTCCTGTGGCCTTGCGGGTTCCCGTTCTGTCACTTTTTTTGGGTTCCCACTTGCTGTGAAATACTGATGAGACAAGAGATTGTATCTCTGAAACTAGAGTCTGTGCAGTGGGGGTGGGGCCCATATCCCTCCTCGCTTTCTACCTGTTACTGGGATAGTAGCCCCTGAACACACGTGCAGGTCAACCTGTGGTAGTGGACCCTTCAGGTCCCCTCTATGACCCTTGATAGGTTTAGGCTGACGGCCGTAATGTAAGGCATGTTCTCAGCAGCGCCCTCTAGTGTTGTCACAGAGCAATAAAACGTTTTTCTCCCTCTGCTGAAGTATTCCCAGGCATCCAACACACGGTCAGACGTAGAGGAGTGCGAGCATGCCCACGAGCTGGGGGCCATCAACAGCACACTCAGGTAAGGAAAACTGCTGGCCGGCCTCTCCGACAGCGGGCCTCGCTTTGCAGTCATTATTTAGTGACTGTAATCTGACCCCAGGGCTGTGGTTCTCTTCTTTTGGCTCCGGGGGAGAGTTCGCTGCTTATTTAAACCTGACCGCACCCTTCATGAACAAGGCTTCATCAGAGTGTTAGACACAAGTGCCCTTCATTCTGCGAGTGTTACGGGTGTGTTTGTGCAAGCGAAAAGTGATGCTTAGTTTGGTCAGTAATCACTGCTAAATAAGTAACATTTTATATTTAATTGGTATCATACCTTTTCACTGAACATTTACTCATTCGTGCTGTGAGTTTGACACTTGTTTTAAGGGTTATATTGTCATGAATAAGACAATATTGGCACGTGATTAATATCTGCAGATTCCTTAATGTTTGTGATCCCTTGGACCCGCTGTGGATGGAATAATATAATTGTCCCATCTGCCTCTCCAGTAATCAGAGCAGGGAGGCGTTTGAGGACTGGGCCCGGCACGACGACGCCCAGGACCACTTCTGCGAGCTGGATGGTGCGTCACGTTTCCACGGCTGCCGTAACCACGACGTCTGTCGCTCTACAGAGCAAGAGCAGCCTGGCTACAGTTTAATCAGTCCCGGGGGGGAGGGTCACTGGGAACCTTAAATCAGTTGTAGGAAGCACAGGGCCGGGGGACGCACTCACACCACATACACACCTGCAGTCACACGCCAGACTGCTGGAGGAGTCCCTCCACATACTCAGGTGCAGGAGTCCCACCCGCCAGGCCACCAGCTCCACTTCCAGTACACATTCTCAAACACGTGTCATTTCCTTTCTCCCCGTGAGAGTCACTAGCCTGATGGAAGCGCTGGCCGCTCATGACACGCCTCCCTGTCCCCAGATGAGACGTCCCCAGACGCCCAGTACGTGGACCTGCTTCTGAACCCCGAGCGTTACACCGGCTACAAAGGCCCCTCAGCCTGGAGGGTTTGGAACAGCATCTATGAGGAGAACTGCTTCAAGTGAGAGGCCTGGCTGTTACTGACTGCCTCGCTGAGTACCGCCAGAGCGCCTCGTGAGCTCACACGTGCCTTCTGCCTCCCCCGCAGGCCCAGATCAGTGTACCGGCCCCTGAACCCGCTGGTCCCTAGTCGCGGTAAGCTGAGTATAGCGGTGCCATCTGCTGGCCACACCTCATGCCCTTTATTGTCAGCAATTGCGTCTCCTTAGTTTTTCATAATTATTCAGCAGTTTAAGTTTAAAAAAAATTAGTTTGTAACACCCACTTTCTCTATCCTTGTCTTTTATGTCTTATTTTAGGAGATGATGATGGTAAGTCCAGTTTTTTAAGTACGTAGATCACTTGTTTATAAAATAGAATACATTTCTTCATTTATAATTTATAATTGCTGTTTTATTCACACAGGTGAAGGTTTTTACAACTGGTTGGAAGGTAATTAGTTTTTTTATAAGGGGGTGTGTCACGTGTGTCTGTGTGTCCCCCCAGTCTTGCTGTAGTGCTGCCACCCTCCCTGTCTGGCCCCCAGTTTGCTGGTAGTGTTAAGTGGGTTGTAGTCAGACATGCCCAGTGACCCCCCCATGCACCCTGCAGGCCTCTGCCTGGAGAAGAGAGTGTTCTACCGCCTGATCTCTGGCCTCCACAGCAGCATCAACATCCACCTGTGTGCAGAGTACCTGCTAGAAGGTGAGTGGGCCTGCCGATGGGCTGTGCGCATGGGGGAACGCTGCCAGTCCTCATGCCGACGCCCTCGCCCGCAGAGCCCTGGAGCAAGGCCCACTGGGGCGCCAACGTGCGTGAGTTCCGGCGCCGCTTTGACCCGGCTGAGACCAAGGGCGAGGGCACGCGCCGCCTGAAGAACCTCTACTTCCTGTACCTGATCGAGCTACGGGCGCTCTCCAAGGTGGCACCATACTTTGAGCGCTCCATCATCAACCTGTACACCGGCAATGTGCAGGAGGATGGCCAGACCAAGGAGCTGTTGCTGCAGATCTTCAACGAGATCAGGTGTGGGCCCCGTCCCCAGCCAGTCGGGCCGCAGTTGCGTCTTCATGACCCGTATTGTTCTCTGCCTGTTCTCTGCCTGTTCTCTGCGTCCTCATGACCCGTCCTGTTCTCTGTGTCCTCAGAGCTTTCCCCATGCACTTTGATGAGAAGTCCATGTTTGCAGGACACAAGCTGGAGGCCAAGACTTTAAAGGTGAGCCGTCTCCTTGTCGAAATCCTGACAGTAAATGAACAGATCAAGGAAGACCCAACATTTGTTTGGCTAATTGCATTTTTATTAATTACATTAATAGAAGCTTTTAGGTCCCGGCTGACATTTACTTAGCTGGTTTATCATCAGCACCCTCCAGAGTTGTACCCATAATGCCTTACTTCCACGCCGCCTCTTGTCAGCTCTGGTCGGCATGGCAACTCGAACCTTTCCCTCTGTCGGTTTCAGGAGGAATTCAGGCTCCACTTTAAGAACATCTCCCGCATAATGGACTGCGTGGGTTGCAATAAGTGCCGAGTGTGGGGTAAACTGCAGGTACGCGACCCCCCCACCTCCCCCCCCACTCCCTCCAGCAAGCTCTGCCCTCTGACTTCCTTCCTGCTGGTCTGTGTCCCCTGAGTGCTGGTGACAGCCAATGCTGCCTTTTGATCTGTAACTACATGTGTCCCTTTGGCTTGGGAGGTATTGATCTCATGAACATCCCCATCCCAGGTGCTAGTCTGGGAATGAAGAATAATAATAATAAATATCAATATGTACTACTACTGCTGCCTGAAATTTTACAGATTATCCTTGGAATTATTATGAATTAAAAGGTTTTTATATGTAGTATTGAAATTATTTCCCAGATGTGTTTGGAAGTTCTTTTTTCCCCTTTTGCAATTATTAACAAATATATAAAATTGCAGCCAATTGATTCTTGGAGTCCCACTGGTAAGTGGGAGAACGACAGCATAGCTCTTGCATAGGTGTCACCGCAGCCCAGCTTTGGTAGGTCTGAAAAGCATTTGATGCCACAGTACAGTCATACAGTGAAGCTCGCAGGTAGGAAGTTGATTGGTTCAGTACAGATGAGGTCAAGGCGCAAGTGTGAGGTCGCTAAGCCGGCAGTTTCCCGTTAGCATGATCCATGTGGGCAGTGGCTGAGTACAGCCCAGTGGTGTGTCATTACAGGTTAATGTGGTTTGTTGACTTAACAAATGAAGCAGACCAGGCTGGATTTATTTGATTTTTCCTCCGTGAACAAACACGGACAGGGTTGAAACAAACCCCCTAGGTTAAAGGGTAGCATAGCTTCCCCATTCCCTGTGTAAACCTCCATTGAGAAATGCAGGGTTTTTCATTCACAAAATATATTCCAGAACTAGCTATGGCTTTTATTATTTTAATGACTGAAAAAAACAGAACATACTGGTGATTGGTCAGATTTCTCCAACCGCAGTTAAAACTGTGGACTGTATTGTTTCTGTTTTGCAGTATTTACTGTAAACCGTTGCTTTCCTGTGGAGAGCTTCATCTCTCCATGTTGTGAGGCGATTGACACCCGCTCTGCCCGACTCTGAGATGGACCCGCTGGCTAAATGCTGCAGCACCTTGGCCTTACGGTTCCTTTAGGAGCAGAGCGAAGCTTCCACACTTTAGCACGCGGAGCGTGTTACCGGAGACTCAGAGTTTCCCAGCTTCCCTGGGATTAGTACTGATGCGCTGATAGCATTCATATTTCAGGGAAATAAGCTGAGCTACAGAGGAGCAGATCTAGGCTAAAGCTTTTGGGAAAACCTTTGATCTCTGTAGCATTTTTCATTATCAGAGTCTGAGTGTTTCCAGAGCAGCTGAAATGAGTAAAATCCTTACAGTCCATAGACTGCCTTAAAATATGAAATGTAAGGACTTTTACCAAGTTATTTTACGTAAGATTATTTTCCGTGACATTATTTTAATTTCTAATATAAACATAATGAGGATGTTTGGTCCCTGGTGTGGTTTTTAGTTGTTTTGATGTCCTAAGTGAATAACCCCTCCCATCTTCTGTGTCTCCCCCAGACTCAGGGGCTGGGCACCGCCCTCAAGATCTTATTCTCGGAGAAGGAAATTCAGAACCTACAGGAAAACAGTCCATCGAAGGGGTTCCAGCTGACACGACAGGAGATTGTAGCCTTGCTGAATGCGTTTGGAAGGTGTGCTTCACTTTCTCATAGCCCCTGCATGGAGACAGCGCCCCCCTGTGGTGGCCTGAGAGTAGTGGCACATGTCCCTTAGTAATGAGCCATTAGTTTTGTTTGTCATTACAGCAGTCTATGAAGGCCTTTGGCCTAAACTAAATTTTCCCTCCCTTTGTCTTGATGACCCCCCCCCAAAGCTGCAAGCTGTTTTTACAATTCCTAGAATTTTCTACAGGGCCTTTTTTTTCTCCAAGCTGTACCAAATTGTTTGTAAAACAGCAGGCAGCCACTAGAGGGAGCCTATCACACCCACAGATTCCACAGAGACAGTACTTTAAATTTCAGATGAGCCCTTTACAGGAAGTATTGTCAAATTCCAGCCTGTTTCACGCTCATTTTTTAGGAAGTCGTGTTTAGCTTATATTATGCATCAGGTTTTCCATAGGTAACTGTTTTCCTCTTCCTCCTTCCTACAGGCTCTCCACAAGTATCAAAGAGCTGCATAATTTCCGAACTCTGCTTAAGGACCAGAGGTAACAAACATGCCTAGCCACCAGGTGGCAGCAGCCAGAGGACACTGCAATAGTCTTATCTTCCCAAGAGTAAGGCCACCATTTCAGGGACTAACAGGATCAGTTCCAGAAAGTCTTATCCCCTCCGCGCCCCTCCCCCCGCCCCTCCCCCCGCAGCCCCATGGGAACCTCGATTACTGTGGAGACAGGTGAGGTTCTTGGCTTTGGGCCATCTTCGCTATCAGTCATTCCCCGCTTGCTCTTAAGAGATTCCTGCTCTGTTCTTTTTCTCTGTCTGCTGGAGAGATGTAGGTGAGAGTGAGGGTATCACCCCCTCGTTCCGGACAGTGGACTCCAGACTTTTTTGCTGATATTGGCTGCCGTCCACTGCGGTTTGCTCATTTCCTCAAAGCAGTCCTGTTCTCTGTCTCTGCAGGCGCATGTAAATGCCAGTTATAGATATGAAATTCCAAATAGGATCAAATTTAATTTCAGCCATCTCGCGTTGCGTCGAAACTTGATTTAAACGTCGAGTGTGTCGTCTTTTACTTTATTGGGGCCGATGATAAATGTTGATTATTCGATATATTTTTTTGTTTTTACATTGTTTTTGCACCGATATTTATTCTGAGCAATAACAGTAAATTAATTTTGTGTGTCTGTGGTCCCAAACTTAAGCAACTCAAACAAGCATGGATCTGGTGTAGTACAGCCAGATCCCTTTACGGTGTTCACTGGATGGGTTGGGCTCTTTTGTCACTGAGACCAGGTGCAGAGATGGATGTTTTTTACGGAGTGGACACACTCGCTTAGCTAGAGCCTGTAGCTACACCTGGTGAAGGCAGCAAAACGGTTGCCACGGCGTTTGTGGCAGCTTCTGCCATCGCTTCTCCAAAGGCAGCTATTCTCTGGCATTCGGAGTAGGTCAGCAATGGCCAGTTTCAATGTCTGTCTCGGGGTCCCATAGTGCCACTCTAACGATATTTGCAGGAAGTGGTTTGTGGGGTAAGTTTTTCAGGACCTGTAGGATCTGGGAAGCTTTGTGCTCCTTGTAGCTTTGTGTTTAGTGTATTCAGCACAGCATCTGGGGTTTAGTCATCGGCTTGAAGGTGGGGGAACTCGTATCTAGAGAACAAGACAGGAGCTGAAGCTTTCACTTATCTGGCCCACATACACAATAGAGAACGCTAGTCCCTGACCTGCGGAAGCAGCCAGTTCACTGCTGATGCATTATTGTACCGCACACAACGTGCAGGCCCTGTGTCCGGATATGGAGGCTTGGCGGCTGGTCACTCTTCAGAGCAGGCTGTGTAACAGGCTGGGTTTGTGAAGGTGTAACTCAAAGCAGCTTCAATTCCTTTCATCTGCTTCTGTGTCAAAGCCCCAGCTTTTACTGTTCCCTCAGGATTGTTTTTCATTTTTAGAGTCCTGCTCAGTTAGAAACCTGGACGATGTATAAAAAACTGATTTATCCATAGAATTCTGGACTCGTACAGTTAAATCCTAGAGAAGTCTGCTTGATCCGTGTCTCCCCAGTAGGGTGTAATGATACCCCGGCTGGGGCGTCTCCTTGCGGCCTTGTGGCTGAACCCCCAGCTGGCACCTTTCTTGGTTGAACGTTTATAGCGGAAAAAGAGTGAAGTAGACAGCTTTGTCGAATCTGCTAAGCCAGTGATCCCCGTGCCCCACCTGGTTCATGAAGCGTGAGAGCACATTGTCTGTCTTCGTTAATCGGCATGGCCCCTTCCTGGAGAACCCAGACGCTTATCATATTTGCTTTTGTTGATGGTGTTGACTTCCGGCGTTTTGAGCGCGTGGGCTGGCCGCCCATTCAGTCGATTAGATGCATCTTGTGTAGAGGTTGATGTTTTATTCATGCACACTTAAGATTCTGTGCATGGTGAAGCACCACATTCTCTACATGGTAAGTGTCCCTTTCGCCCCTCAAAGCTGCTTCCGGGCAACTGAAGTTTGTCCCGGTTCCAAGACTCCCGCCCCCAACCCCCCAGTTCAGAATGATAGTGTTAAGTGAAGTCTACTCGAGACCGTCAGAAGTGACCAAAGAGCCCTCCCCCCTCCCCCCTCGTCCTCCGCCGTGCTGTGCCACACATCCTGTCCAGCCACTCCCCCCCCCCCCCAGAGATGAAGGAAATGGCAGCCGTGAGCAGGAGAGTGCAAGGAAGCCGTGTGCCACCCCCCGCCGCTGCACACTCTCCCACCGCCACGCGCCAACCTCGCCACGCAGCACGGCGTGCCACACGCTGCACATCCTGCCTTACGTCTGCGACTCTACGAGCCACCATAAGCTTGCCTACTATGGCGAATCGGATGGTCAGATCTCGCCGCCTGCTGTCTCTGCTCTACAGTGTTCTGCCCCTTTGCTTTTTTACGCGCTCTGTGAACTTTTGAGATCTTGTACCATTTGTAAAAGAAAGGAAGATCTTTTAACTATGTATAGCTGCACCTCTGTTGTCTGTACGTACTGAGTGTATTTATTTGAATGGAGGAATAAATATTTCTGGTTGTCATTCCAAATTCAGTGTCTTTCTATCCGAATTGAAACACGCCATTGGGGGGGTGCCCTGTAGCCTTTATAATGTGTTTTAATCAGACACTGTTTAACATCTGTAACTCCGGGGGAGGTAATCCAATGTCCAAATAATTATCTTAGGAAAGTCATTATTAGCTGGAGTGAGAAGCTGCAGGATTTTACCCGGCGCCACAAAATGCAGCAAATTAGGTGAAATGAGTGTTTATAGAGGAGTGACGGAAATGCTGTTAGGTGGTCTTCATTTTATAATGAGCATTTATATACAAAACACACAAATTACCGGTTTTTGTATCTTTATGGTTGGTATTGTCAGAAGCGATCTTTGAGTCTGCATATTAGAGTTTTTTCCCCCCCACATTCACTAGCATTTTATTTTCGTTTAAATTTAATTAGCACTTCTTTTGATCCTTTTGAAATCCCACTTATGACTTTCCTATAAACAACAAGCACTGGATCAGGATGTCTATGCATTTGTCATGTCATTGAGCAGCTGTGCAGGTTCTCCTGCTCACTGAGGTCCATCCAGAGCTGCTCTACCGTTCTACGCTTTATTTTATGCGAAGAATCCCCTCCTCCTCCATTTTCCATTCAGCTGACCATGTGTGTAAAATTAAGTCGGCGCCTCACACTGGTTTCCTGCAAAGTGGGTTTTATTGATGATTCTCGTCAATAATGCACCAAGATGCGAGATACAAAAAGCTGAAGTGAAAATGTGACACTTCCTGATTTTTATTTTTTTTTTTACCTCCTTAGAAAAAACACAATGGACCTTTTCATAACTCAATCACCATAGTCAACGGAACAGCATCATAAATTGTTAGTAACCCTTTCATCCCCATACTTTAATTACAATTGTGCCTGGCTGAAAAGGAAATTTAATTATAATTACCACAACGATAAACATTCAAAGGAAAAAAATGACATTGAAATGTATGTTAGAGGAATGCTTCAAGTGATGAAATTAAGTAAGAACTTATTGTGCAAAACAACTGAGAATGACAAGTCCTTAAAGTCATGACGAGCTTGTTTCCATGAGTGCACGCAGTATCTTGACTGTACATATCCCCCCCGTTGGGGTGCAGGGCAGTAGGAGGGTAACAGTTGCACAACCACCCCCCCCCCCCCCCCCCCTTGGTTGCACTCTGAGGAATGTCTGGAGCCTCTATTACAGCGTATTACAACAAGTTGCAAAACCCCTCCGTCCAAATCCACCCCTTTTCCCAGACTGACTTCTCCATGGAAACCGACCAGCTTAAGAGCTAGCATGCTGTATCAATGCTACTTCCAACTGCATGTTTTCCCACAACATAACATCTGCATGTGTGTGTGTGGAAACATCTGTATTATCAAAGTTATTTAAGAATCTTTCTCTGAAAAACAAAATATGTTCAACCCTGCAACATTTATCAAAGGGTAATTTTTGTACAAAACTAACCCGTGGCTTAATTTTATAAAAGTTTTCCAAAGTTTTTTTTACCATCGTCATTTTAGCGCAGCTCATTTTGATACTTGAAAAGTAACCAGATGTGGGGTGTCAGGACGCCACTGTGAGCCATCTCGACTGAATCAAATGCCTTTACGTCAGAGCGCAGCTTAAAACGTGTCGCACGATTAAATGATTAACAGACGTATTAATCAGGATAACTAACGTAGCTTATACTTAACCCATTTATACAGCTAGGGTATTTATTGAAGCGACTTAAGAAGATGATGCAGATGCTTTAATCTGGCAGCTGGTCTACTCAGGGTGGGTGTGGTGTCTCCCTTAAGACAGTTGACTACCTTCTGATTTACCAATAACTGTAACGGCGTTTTTGACGTTGCTTGTGCTCTCTGAGTCACTGTGCCAGTACATCTTTCATGGGACTGGAGCCTTTTTCCTGTCTCTCTAATTACAGGAATCCCAAGCGAGCTTTGAGTGTAACCTGTCCAGCCATGAGAGTTTCCGCAGGATGGTGAGAGCACCCCCACATGCTCAGAGATGACATCTCTGGGAATGTTCTCACCATCCCCACCAACAGCCTACAGCTAACTTGCAGCAGATTCGATCCAGCGCATTGTCAGACTCGAGTACACCAACAGCATACCGTTGCAAGAAACAACACGAAAGTATGAATACATAAGGCTGCGGTTTTGGGTCTACAGTGCCTGTATGCCGAGCTTATGATCTGGGAGTGCTGGTGGAGATATCCAGAGGACATGGGGAGGCATCAGTAAGGATGCAGCTCCCCTGAAGCCGTGCTCAGGTGGGGGTCCTCTGCTCCGATATAGGCAACAAAGCCGCTGCTCTGGCTGCCCCAGTCGTAGCAGTCGGTGGCCAAGCTGCAACAGGAAGTGGGTCATGAGCCCAGAGGAAGTAGCACCGTGCTAACAAATGGATACAGTAACGAAACGGACACAGTCGTCTGCTAGCACGTCTTATTTAGCTACTGACAACGCCTTTTGTTTGAGTGCATGAATGCAGCGTTGTCTGGAAACAAATCTGCTCGGCCCGTTGTGAGTCATCCCTTCCATCCCTCAGTCCAATCGACCAATTTCCCAGAAGCCTCACAGAGTTTGGTCTGAGCCTGTTTCCTTGGTAACCCACCACCACTTAGCGCTTCGCCGGTGGTACTGCGTGGGGCGCTGGCTGCTTACCCGGCCTGAACTCCCTGGGGGATGATGCTCCACGCCAAGTCGTCATCACTGTCGTAGCGCCGGGGGTTGTCGAAGAAGTAACCCCTGGAGAAGACGTGTCCAGGGAGGCCAGAGCCAGTCTGGAAAGATAGTCACCGCTTATCACAGCCTCAAGGTAACGCTGCAGCGGGTCCCCAGCTCCCTGTTACCCATCTGCAGGAACGTTTCATCATCTTTTACTGGGAAATCATTTTCTCTTAATGTGTGTGATGTGGTCATGAATGTCTGACCTATGGTTTATAGCGTGTCAGGTTATGCTGTCCAGTTCTTCCCATAATCCCCTAAGTCTCCATCTGAGAAAAATAAAAAGATGGAACAGCTGGCGTGCACAGCGGCCACCCTTGCTGACCTCCCCCGGACCAGAGAGCAGCTCCTGGCACGGAGTCAGCCAATCCTTTGGCCCCGGCCACGGCAGGGGGGAGGGGGGGGCCGCGTGAGCAGATGGGTGCCGTGGTTTCTCACTGCTTTTTTCCTGGACCATGACGCTGAAAATGATCTTCAGCGAGCTGGCAGGCTCAGCTGCTCTCAGTCGCACTGAGCTCTCTGTCCACTATTCCCAGTGTATACATAACGTCTTGTTCTCACTGTTTCTCTGCGCTTCCCCTCGCAGTCCGCAAACACGCTGTCTAAATTGTCCGTGGTGTGCAGTCGAGTGTGTGACCTTGTGCCTTGTGCTGCCTGGGACCGGCTCCAGGCTCATTGACTGAGTGGTTTTGGAAGATGGATGGATTTTTCTATATATACTGCATTACAACCGTCCAGTAGATAAGTGCTTATGGGAAATGGATTGTATGTTCTCACATACAAAATGTGTTATGAACTAAGCATCGTTTGTCTTGTTCTTGGATATTCAGTACCAGTCAAAACACACCTACCCACAGGAAGGTATATTTGTACTATTATCTATATTTAAGGATAATTATAATGGGGGCAGCTCTGTGGGATGGGACTCAGAAGGTTGTCGGTTCAAATCCTGTTGTCAGCAGACTGATGCCACCATTGGGCCCGTGAGCAAGGCCCTTAACCCCAATTGCTCCAGGGACTGGCTGCCCCTACTGTCTCCTCTATGCCTGTTTCATGAGGTGACCTCCTGGGATGCTTTTCATGCTGTCCCGAAGGAGGTCCCACATACTGTATATGCTGAACACTCATTGGCCGCTTTTCCTTCACTCTTTGGTCAAACTCCTCCAAATCAGTTTCTACTGTGCTTAGGTCAGGTGGCCAGGTCATGTGATGCGGCACTCACTCTCCTTGCCGTGGCCAAACTTTTGACTGGCACTGTACCTCAGAAACAACAGCGAAATAAAGAAAAAGGACGCAGTGCATCGACGACGACGACACTGGGGGTGGGACGGCCAAGCTCACCCTGTCCTGTGCCGGCCTGCGCACTCGGAAGAAGAAGACGACCAGGGAGGTGGGCAGGAGCTCCCACACGAAGAGGACGACCCCAAATACGATGTAGCCCGCATCTCCCAGGCTGGACTGCAGGTCGGCCTGTAGGGGGACAGACCATATGCCGAGAGCCAGAGAAATGCAGCTCATGCGGGATAGCTGTAGGTTTCAGCGCTGACGCCTACTGCTGTTGGATGTTTGGGTATATTTAACATTAAAGGCTGTATATACGCATGGTTAACCATGTCAGTGAATGAATATGCATCCTCTTGCTCTGTGTGGGATCCGCTTGCCTGTGTTTGCCTTTGGTTTACAGTCGCGTCTCATGTACCTTAACTGAGTAGATAGTCAAAGCTGATACATTTCTGATGCTGCTCAGGTGAGTGGCTACCTCGCGTTTCCCGTGTCTGTGCCACTAGGTGAAGTTGTGTGTCTGTGTGCCTTGTGGCGGTTTAGCGCAGTGCTTCCCTTCCCGGTCCTGGGGGACCCCAGACAGTCCACGGTTTTACTCCAAGCGAAAATGTGGACTGTCTGGGGGTGTCTGAGGACTCGGTTGAGAAACACTGGCCTGGAGTCTCATCACAAAGTGTATGTACAGTAGCCCTAAGGCTCCAAATCCCTACGGCCTGAACTGGATAATCAGTTAATGAGAATGGATAGAATTAAACATGTTAACAAATACAGTCAATATATTGGAAATAATTGATTCATTTACCTGGTCGGACACGTTGTACCAATCATAATCAAAGGAGTTGATGGTTTTGATGTTGGTGAGAGCCAGGACCACCAGGTTGTAGCAGGCTCGTGATGCGTACAGCAGAATGACCGTGACCCCGATGACTGTCACCTGGCACACTGACGTCCCCTACAGGTACGATTTAACCTCAGTCCACAAGCCCTAGCCGTAGCTGGCAGTTGCCTAATTTAAAGGCAGCTAATCACGTAAATACCCAAGGTGAAAGTGAAAGTAAATGAACTTTATAAGAAAACCACCCGCTCCGGCCAATTATAGAAGTGAAAATGTGGGACATTCCAGTTTTCGTGGGCTACAAGATTTACTGCCCTTAATGTTTTGGTTGTTTTACTGTTGTACTTTATCACAGGAGTTACATTGGTCTACCGTCTATAAGGACTGGTACTTCCCACTGCAATACTACTCCTCAATAAGTTAAATGGTCACCTTAGACTCCAAGTAGATGTTAGCCAAGGACATCTTGGCAATTTTGTAGAGGCACAGGGAGAGAGAGATGGCACAAAGCACGAAGAGGCTGTCGTTGATGGCCACCCGCACCAACACGATGGTCTTCACCTCCGTGCTGGTCATCTTCACCAGCAGGGCGCACGTAAGGTTCACCACCAGGAACACCAGACTGATGCCGAAGAAAAACAAGTACAGGGGGAACCTGGGAGGAACAGACAGCGGGTTTGTGGCAGATTTCAGGTCACGCTTTTAGTACAAGTCTAGACTGCCTTGCTGGCTTCTCTGGGCCCCTGGATTGCTGCAGAACCCTTTGCCTCTCCTTCATAGCATTAATATTTCATGCTCAGATAAATGTTTGAAAGGTTCTCGTAATGGCAAAATGTCACCTGACACCATGCATATGTTTGACCTCAGAACTGTTACATATCTGATGGGGATCTGCAAATAAGCATCTTTAGACCTGAGGTTTGTGAGAATGATGACGGTTTACCTGTACTTGAGGAGTTCTGGTGAATACTTAGACTTTGCTTTAAAAACAACCTGTTTGAGAGAGGAAAGGCTATTTTACTACAAGCACGCCTACCAAAGGTGCTAGAATTGTTTACAGTCATTTGAAAGCTGCAACAGGAATCATGGGAGACGTTCTCCCTGTAACTCAAGGTATTTACTGTAGCTACAAGTGCCCTCAAGAATTATTGGCACCCTTGGTAAAAATGAGTAAAAAAAGAAAAATATATTTTACGGTCAAATGCCTTAATCTCTCACTGAAAAAAATGAGAAATCCAACCTTCAACATACATACATTTATTCTAGCTAAAAATACTTATCAAAAGATACATTTTTTAATCAAATACATGTGCCACAATTGCTACTTGCAGGGGTAGATTTTGGGCCCCATGACAGTATATCATATTGGGCCCCTAACCCAGACCAATCCAATTATGTTCCAAATATTTTGGGGCCTCTGTCACTCAGAGGCCCTTGGAATCATCCTAACTTCCCCCCCCCCCCCCCTTTACACCACCCCTACTGCTGGCATATGTTATATGTTACTTTTTTTAAAAAGGGGTTTAGATAACCCCATGACCCTCACAGGAATAAGCAGTTTGAAGATGAATGTACAAGCTTAAATGGTTGTGACCGTGGCGTCGCATGACTGGCTGGGGGTGTCATGGGAAACAACTGCAGTCAGAAGATAAATCAGATATGACAAGAAGAGAATTTAAAACACATATACTTAAATTAACCCAAACCCCAGCTTTACATTCTGTGACACAAATGTGAGTCTGAAAGGTGCATTATGATTTATCCCTTGTTTCCAATTCACTGATGGCCCTGTATTAATGACAAGGTCATAGTTTTGTTTACAAAAGTGCTTTATACCTAACAAGGCAATAAATGAAAGCTGGTATGTGCTGAAAAAAAATGTGGGAGTAGTTAAAAACCATAATTTCTCTGTTTTTTCAAACCTTCCGTCCTCATGCCTTCCCTTACCTGGGTTTCCAGGCATTTTTTGCTGAGATAACTGAGTCCTGTCTTTTCTCAAAAGTTTTTGGTGGCTTGATTTGATGAATGGGCTGTAACTTCCACCGACGCTGTCATGGTACTTTCTGTAAGGTTCTGAAGAGCTCGGTCAGGGCAGTGCAGGGTGTTAAATCTCAAAGGGGTTTCCTGGGTCTATTTCAGGTCAGTCATGTGACTGACAGGTGTTTGAACATTAAGCCATCTGCCACCTCTGAGAGTGAAACTAATTTATTTTGGTGCCATAAAAATGAAACACTTGTTCTATATGTTTGTGTCTAATATATCTCGGAGTTACAGTTTTTTAAAAAACCTTCACCCACCAATGTAAAATAAACCTTGATGTTTAAAAAACCTGTGCTGTAATTAGGCCTTGTTCCAGTTGAACTAAACCACCACATACTGACATACAATAATGTGGAATCTACGTTTAAGGAACCGGTTCCATTTTCTTTATTTATATTAACAAGTCCTTAGTATGAAAAACTGCTGAGTCATGGCAGTTAATTATCTCTCAGTAAGACAAAGGCTGTCACCTGCATATTCCGATTGCTCAGTAGGTCTGAACCTCTCCCTCCCCAGCCTGAGCTAAGCTCATTTTCCCGTGGATCAGTCATCCTGGTGTGGTGCTCAGTATGCTGATGTCAGCAGTCCATCGGCCCCTGAAGGCCACTCTGTGAATGTGGTGAGTGGCGTTCAGGACCCATGCAGCGTATCCCACCACATTGGGGGACGCTCCCTATGCTTTAGGGGCCGTTCCCGCCATGTTGGGGGACGCTCCCTAGGGGCCGTTCCCGCCATGTTGGGGGACGCTCCCTAGGGGCCGTTCCCGCCATGTTGGGGGACGCTCCCTAGGGGCCGTTCCCGCCATGTTGGGTGATGCTCCTGACTCTTTAGGGGATGTTCCCGCCACATTGGGAGACGCTCCCTAGCCTGCATTCCCCATAATGCCGCGGCCCGTACCATTTCACAAGTGTACCGGGGATGTTTTTCATTCCCCAGAGCGAAAATACATTTAATGGTGCTCACAGTTCACATCTAGCACGCCCGGAATGTTCTGCAAAGGGCTGCACGTTTGGCAGGTGCCCGAAGCCATAATGAGGACAGTCAGAGTGCCTAGTACCCCCTCCCACCCCGTGCACCGTGTGTGTGTGTGTGTGTGTGTGTCTGTCTGTCTGTCTGTCTGTCCAGACCCACCTGAGCAAAATAGAGGTTCATCAGGCTGAGGGTGAAGAACTGCAGGCAAACGGGGCAGCAGTAGAGCAGCCAGAATGCGAAGGGTCCCAGAGCGTTGGCTGTCACGAAGCTCCTGAAGTAGAAGGAGAAGAGCACAGCGCGCAGGGCAGCCCACAGCAGGCAGAGGAAGAGAAACACCGTCTGGTAGCTGAAGCGCTTGTGCCGGTATCGCAGCACCAGCCAGAGCTGCACGTAGATGAAGGCAAACAGCAGCGAGTAAAAGACGGTGTAGGCCACGGTGAGGCCCAGCTTCACGTAGGGGGGCACGGCCGGGCTCAGGGTGGGTGGGGGCAGCGACTCGTTGGTCGCTGGCTCCCCAGCCCTCGCCGACGCCTCCATCAGCCTCCTTAGCTTCGGGGGGCGCCCCCACCCCCGGCCCCCCCCGGGATCCTGCCGGTGTGCGCTGGCCGAGCTCCTGTCAGAGGCGCCAGCCCGAGAGAACCGGACTCCTCTCCATCGCAGCCCGAGAGCGAGAGAGAGGAAGGGAGCGGGAGGCGGAGAGCTAGAGGGAGGGAGGGAGGGGGGCTGGGCGAGCGAGTGAGCGAGCGAGTGAGGAAGCAGAGCAGGGAGGGAGGGAGGGCTCACAGCAAAAATGAAAACAAGCTCACTTCCTGCTGCAGCTGAGAGTCAGAGGCTGCCCCGCTCACCGTCCGCCGCTCTCCACTCACAGTGCCTGGCAGGAAGAGCCGGCCCTGCCCCCTGCTCCCCCCCCACCACCTCGCGCGGCCCTCCTCCGCCTACTGCACGGTTCCTTTAACCCTCTGCTGCCATTCCTGTCTTCCTGAGAGAGCCCTGAGCCCCCAGCTGGAGATCGACGGGGAATAATGGGGCTTCTGTCAGGGGGGGAGGGCCTGTCCCATCCCGCGGGGCTGGACATCTACACTGTGTCATTCATCCATCCATCCATGCATCTTCAGACCATTTCTTCTGCTGAGGGTCATGTTGTATAAGAACATAAGAAATTTACAAACGAGAGGAGGCCATTCAGCCCATCAAGCTCGTTTGGGGAAAACTTAACTAATAGCTCAGAGTTGTTAAAATCTTATCTAGCTCTGATTTAAAGGATCCAGGGTTTTAGCTTCCGCTACACTAGCAGGAAGACTATTCCATACCCCAACTACACGATGTGTAAATAAATGCTACCTCAAATTCATTTTAAAATGTTCTCCCGCTAATTTCCACTTATGGCCACAAGTTCTAATATTTAAACTAATATTGAAATAGCCATTTGGCTGAACAGCATCCAGACCTGTTAGAATCTTATAGACCTGGATCATGTCCCCCCTTAGTCTCCTTTGCTCGAGGCTAAACAAATGTACATTGTAATGAATAAAAACGTAAATCCCCCTGCATGTTTCCATCCTGTTTGCCTGCTTACAGCCGCTCTTATGGCTGTATCTCCAGTACATTCCCTGTATGGTACGTGACTCTTAATCTACACATTGAATCCCATAGAATCCCATGTTCATTTAGGTGGCCTCACACCTTCCAGGGCCGAAGGTCTGGTTGGAGCCACAGCTCTTTGTGGAGCTCGCACACAACACAAAAACATTAGATTAGAAGGCTTCCTGACTTACTACCCTTTCTGTGCCTAGTAGCCCTGTGATGGTCCTCCGCCTCGTGTCCGCTGTCACCTTTGGCAGCTTATAAATTCTCCCCTAACCCATAATTATGTCAGTAAGGGCTTTTATTTTGACATCATCCCCATTGTAAGCTGCTGTTCCATGATTCCCCCCCGTGTGACTGTCATAGCCTACATGACCGAAGCACTGGATCTTCAAAACCTTCCTTTTCACTTTCCCTTCCCAGTCAACAATTCAGGTCTTGAACTTTACTATGACGATTTAATTAACCGATCTGCCATTGCATTAAATATTCAGGGTCATGACGGATGGTGATGTCCGTCTATGCTGATCGCGTGTTTAAATCCCGGTGCCGGCATGAGCAAGTAAGGTGTTCCGGAATCCCCTAACGGCAAGGTCATTTTCTGAGAGATTCTTACCTTGGGAAGCATGAAAGATTCTCAGTGAAGGAGGCCAGTTTCGAGCTTCGAGACCCACAGGCTGTCCTGCCCAGCCAAAACAGCCACACATGGTAGTCAACCAAGCGTGTTGGGGGGGGTGGGAGGTTAAAAGGAGCTTGGCATTTTTAACCCTTATGCCCATCAGTTGTCTGCTGCCCGGGTTTCGAGTCCTTCGGGGGGGGCAGCTGTCCTTCCGGTTGGGAAAGAGAACTAAACTGTGCTTCAGCTTGAAGGTGTAGCGCCCTGTATGGTCAAACCGCTCTCTGGACACCTGCTTGCTCCTGTGATTGGTCGAGGTGCCGTGGGCTGGTGAATGAGACAGCATTCCGTGGTGTGGGCATGCCGGCCTGCTCACCCAGTCTGCACACACCCCTCTCTGCATCTGTGAGAAGGTGCTGAACCCAGCAGTCGTTTATTTCCTGCACTCTAATAATTGTTCTAATTTAGTGATTAAGGGTTTCAGGGAATAATAAGCTAAAGCAATTTGGCAGTTCTAGCACGGTGGCCTATATCCCTAAGCCGGATTGTTTACTTAGCCGGAAACTCACCGGATTTAAGGTACCCCAATTTAAATTGACTTCACTTTTCATTTAGATTTAGCCCAGACTACCTTTAATCTGACAAATTATCTGGCTAAGCAAGAAATCCAGAGGCACACATGCCTGTCATTCATGCTGCCCAGTTTGTAAATAGTAAAACCTGTGGCCTGTACTACGAAACGGGGTTACTGGTTTATCAGGGTAACTTGTCGGATTTAAGGTACCAGAGTTTAAATGGACTCAATATCACTTACATTTTGCTCAGACTACCTTAAATCCGACAAGTTACCCCGATAAGCCAGTAGCCCCGTTTCGTAGTACAGTGGCCTGGTCCCTTCACGTTGGTTTTTAAAAATAAATCATTAACATTTAGCATAACAAAGACCACCCTCTTGAGGCTGCATCATGATGTTTTTTTGGTGACAGACAATCTATGTTAAATGCAGTTACCCAGATACCTCCCACTGAGGGATTGCTGGCATTTCTTTATGCTGCATTTAATACATCAATTGGGGGGGGGGGGGGGTCACTGATCAGCACTTGTCATTGCAGAAAACCATTGCAGCAGGCATTTCCTTGGCTTTTGTCATGTCTCAGAGGGCTCTCGGATCGCAGAGGATTCCCACGCTGAGGTTTACGTGTGTGCTGCACTAGGGCGTCATGGAGGGAGCCCCAGAGAGCAGATCTGGGTGCAGGGGGCTGTAAATCACAGAGTGAAACCAACCATCTGCAGTGTCGCTGACGTCACGCAGACGCTGCCTTCTGCTGCTGTGGATGCACAAGCCTGCCAGGATTTGCATTCTGAAGAATATTTCTGTCTGATTTCTTCACAGGACTCTGCTCTGAGATAAATAGCATTCAATTCTGTGGGTTGTGGGTGGGATTTTCACTCCTGGCCATGTATGTGGAGGTTGCATGTTCTCCCTCTGTTTGAGTGAGTATTGTTTAGCTATACCAGCGTCCTTATGAGGTCCAGATGCTATACCAGCATCCTTACAAGGTTCAGGCTCTATACCAGCATCCTTATGAGGTTCAGGTGCTATACCAGCATCCTTATGAGGTTCAGGTGCTATACCAGCGTCCTTACAAGGTTCAGGTGCTATACCAGCATCCTTATGAGGTTCAGGTGCTATACCAGAATCCTTATGAGGTCCAGGTGCTATACCAGCATCCTTATGAGGTTCAGATGCTATACCAGCATCCTTATAAGGTTCAGGTGCTATACCAGAATCCTTATGAGGTTCAGGTGCTATACCAGCATCCTTACAAGGTTCAGGTGCTATACCAGCGTCCTTACAAGGTTCAGGTGCTATACCAGCATCCTTATGAGGTTCAGCTGCTATACCAGAATCCTTATGAGGTCCAGGTGCTATACCAGCATCCTTATGAGGTTCAGATGCTATACCAGCATCCTTATGAGGTCCAGGTGCTATACCAGCATCCTTATGAGGTCAGGTGCTATACCAGAATCCTTATGAGGTCCAGATACTATACCAGCATCCTTATGAGGTTCAGGTGCTATATCAGCGTCCTTATGAGGTTCAGATGCTATACCAGCATCCTTATGAGGTTCAGGTGCTATACCAGCATCCTTATGAGGTTCAGATGCTATACCAGCATCATTATGAGGTTCAGGTGCTATACCAGCATCCTTATAAGGTTCAGATGCTACACCAGCATCCTTACGAGGTCCAGGTGCTATACCAGCATCCTTATAAGGTTCAGATG